AAAAACAACAACAAAAAAATCACAGCACTTTCAGATACTCATGGCCAGAAGCTTAGTAAGACTAAGAAACAGAATAGTCATTAACAAGTGCAGGATATATCCTGTCCACTATTAGGAGTGTTCTGCATTTTTATATTGATTAAAAAACAATGAAGGCAAAGAAAGTCCTCTGTATAAACCAATAAAAGAATCTTCATCACATTAATAATTGAGCTCACCTACCTTCGCTGGTCCATGTTCATTACTGGAGCCCTGCACCAGCTGCACATAAAACATCACGAAAATATTCACCACTGCCCACTCTCTGTACATTTTGAATATTTTAATATCCACTGATTACTAAGCAGTTGACATCAGGCAGCTAGAGAAAATGGTTTCAAAAGGCATTCTCCAGAAGGAAAGTTTGAAACCCCAAAACTTCACATGGAAAAACAAATAATCAGTTGTGATCAAAATCCAATGAAATGACTTCAGTTAGCCAAGGTAGGTTTTTTGCACAATCTTGGTGGGGAGAGAGAGATGAAAAAAATTTAAAATGTTCTCATGCTCCAAAAATAATCAGGAGGTGGACATGTCTTCCACCTGAAATTGGAAAGCACTCTAAATTAATTTCATGTCCAGCAAATTAAAAAAAAAAATTCTCTCCACCCTACGCCCCAGGTTGTAGTTGCTTTGTAAGGAGGTGGCGTGGCCACAATACTTGCAGCTACAGAAAGCTGGAACCCAACTCTGGATTAAAACTTTTTTCACAACCTTCATGGAAGCTTGCAGAAGCATGTGTCTTAAATCTGACACAGATTTTGGCAGAAAATGCAGGGAAGTCTTGGCTGTAATCCTGTTGTGTCCTTACCAATAGCAGGGCAGTTTTAAAAACTGACTCAAATGCTCAGGACTGCTGTTATTTTAAAGCAGATAACCTGTAACATGAAACCCCAGCACATAGCCTTGACCATTGCATCTCAATAGGATTGCTTAGGAAAGGACCTCAGACATTCACGCATCTGCTGCCAGTGACACAACAGAAAGCAATCAATATGCTTTAAAAAAAAACCCACACATGCACAAAATTAACAGAAACATCCACACGTACATGCAAAAAGGCAAACATACACAAAATGATTTTTTTAACAGAAGCTTAGCAACTTAGGTCAAAATGAAGAACATTGATTTTTACAGAAGCAATGATTCGGTTTATTTGCATGTGCCAAGAAATACCTTACGTGCATTGTTACAAAAACCATATTATCACTTTAGTGTGGAATTCTTTAGAAGCACCGGGCTAAGTCAGCTTTAGAAACTGAATGCCTTGAATGGTTGGATGCCACAAATGGCAAAATTCTAGGAAGCGTGGAGACCTGCTCTTGTGCTCTTCACTAGTTTCCAATCTTTGATTTCCAGGTTTTGGCCCTTTCAAACCCATTTTTTGCATTTCTGAAATCAAGAATGGCCTGAGAAATCTCTTCATTGGTGTTCATCACAAATGGACCTAGGGCAGAAAAAGACATTCAGAAAGTTCTGGGTGACAAAATTTTCCTCTACCACTCAAAATGGTATGTATTTTTGTAGTTCTTAATTTGAAACAAAATCCAGGCATATCTGAACAGTAAAAGTCGATTTTCACAGTGTTCAATCCCCAAGGACTGTAATACAAATTTCTTGAGTAGGACTGTGTATGATTATAAATTACAACAACCAAACTTCAGATAAACAGATGCGACTGCATCTCACCCGTCCATTGCAGGTTTTTCATCAGCAATGGCAATCTCTTCATTCAAAACAGTCTTAAAATTGGTTCTATTACAACCATTTTTGTAGTTATTTTTGACCTTAGCTGATGTCAAGAATTGAACCTATGTGATAAAAAGAATTGGCAAATCTCGTCATAGTTTTGATTTCTAGGCAATATGAGGCTGTGTATGTATACAAGGCCCCTGAGTCACTTTTGAAAATTAGCAGCACCTCATTGACAATAAACAGGAGATTACAAAAATTTGAAGTCAAGAAAGCATCATTTTTTGAGTTCTATATGGGTTGGCAAACTTTTTCTGTAAAAGGCTAGTTTAGTATGTATTTTAGATTTTGTGGATCAAATAGTATCTGTCTCAACTACTTAATTCTTTCACTGAAGCACAAAAGCAGCCATTGACAATATAAAAGTGGACAGGCATGGCTGTGTTCCAATAAAACTTTATTTACAAAAACATGCAGTGAGCAGATTTGGTCCACGAGCCATGGTTTGCTGACCTCTTTGTCTACTTCCTGCGTCTGAACTGAGGTTTTGCTAAAAGTGTACAAGAAGTCCTTCCCTAATCTACCAGAAGACAATGTGTCTGTCTCTTCCTTTTTCTCCACCCATTGTAGGAGCAAAGGGGCACTGGACGGTCTCACTCCCATGATCTGTTGGATAAACGAGGCCAGCTCTTATATGGCATTGGCAGTGTCTTGAAAGCAGTTGACAGATTTGCTCATTCAGTACGTTTCTTCTACCAATCTGCAGAGGTTTCTTCCATTCCCTTTATGGGACTCCCCCTTCTAACAGGCTTTCTCTGAGAGACACTGATTAACATATAACCATATTACTTAGAGGGAATAACACATTCAAACTTAACCATTGTTAGCATGTCAACACAGATCTGGTAATCTCTCTAATTTAAAACTTGAAAAGGAAGACACAGGATAACATGCCTTGATGATGTTGAGGTCCCCGGGAGAGGTTGGGGGGAACAGAATGCTAGTAGGAAGGGAAAGTCTGACAGAAAGAATCTAAATTCATTCATTCAATTGCTTATGTATTATTTATTGAGTGTCTATTAAGTGACAGACATTATGCTAGGAGCTAGAGACATAAAGATGAAAGACAAATGAATTATAGAATCCTCCCCAAAGGAGCTCAAATCTGTCACACAGACAGATATGAAAACGAATCATTACAAAATAGTGTGATATATAAAAGGAAAACAGTATGTAAAATCTAAAGAATCAGCACAGAAAGGGGAGGAGGAGGGATCCAGGAAAGGATTCGTGGGGGTGATGTTCAAGCAGTCATACATGGAGGAAAGGTGTTTTCAGGATCAGCATGCTGAAGGAATTGAGGATGGGGCACAGTGCTGCAGGGAGGGGTTGCAGTGGGGGGAAAAGAATGGGGATCTGATATGTATAATAGGAAGAAGCCAGACCCTTCCGAGCTTTGGATACCATCTATAGGAAGAAGTTTGGATTTAATTCTGCAGGTGACCAGCAATCACTGAAGGGTTAAGTAGAGAGTAACGTGATCTGATTTATAGTTTTTAAAGAAGGCTTTGGCATCAGGGTAGAGAAGATGTCTGGCCTGAGAGGCTGAGTTGGTCGTGGAATTGTCAGGGGTAACTGAGATACCGGACACGGGAAGCTGTGAGCAGAACAAGGAGTTCAGTTGTGGATATCTTGGCCTGGAGATACTGGAGACAATAAAATAGCTTCCCAGTAGAGGTTTTTGGTACATTGTCAGAACTTATGGATCTGGGTCTCATGAGACATTTCATCTGGAGATGGGAATTTGGACTATATTAGGTAGGAAAGAACAGTTGAACCCTCATATGTATAATAAATAATAAATCCAGGAGGGTACCCTGGAGAAGCCAACTTTTTAAAGGACATGCATGGGAAAGGGAAATGGAATTTGGAAAATGAGAGCAGGTGCTGGGCTAAGGACAAATTCCTGCACATCATAATTTTGCTATAGTTTGGACTTGTGGAGCATTGCGCCCATGCCCCAACTATTTTTCAGCAAGAATGGTACACTTCTGGGCTTCCATTTTGACACTTTTCTGGGGTAGTCTGCCATGTTTCCCAGTTTCTATTGTGCACATGAATCACCTGACAATCTTATTAAAATGCAGATTCTGATTCAGGAGGTCTGGGATTCTGCATTTCCAACGATCTCCCAAGTGATGCTGATACTGCTGGTCCATGGACCACACTTTGAGAAACGAGGCTCTGGTTTATGGGGAACCATTGGGAGCTTGGAGCCCTCCAGAGCTGAACTGATGAAGCTCATCTCAAATCCTCAAAGAGAGGAAGAAAATTGAATCTAGAAAGCAGATGTTTTTTAATTGATCAACTACAAGGGTTATGAACAAGAGAATTGTTTGATAGTTATGAATAATCCCATAAATCCTCTTTCAAACTACAGTGTTCATCTCTTTTCTAATTAAACCTTTGAACTCCCTCTCCTGCATAAAATGGTGTGAGTCTAATCTCTTGTTATGTAGAACCTTGGTACAGTAGAGAGAGCACAAGATACAGGGGCAAGAGACTAGGGTCCAAATCCCAGCTCTACTACTAATAATCTCTTCCCATCAAGAGAAGCCACAGGGTATAGTGAGGGGCACCTGGCATGGTGCGAGGTGGAAGGGTGGGGTGGTGAGAAACCAGACAGCCTGAGTGTGACTCCAGCTATGTGGCCTTGGGCAAGCCAATGAACCTCTGTACTTCTGCTTCCTCATCTGAAAAATGGGCATGAGAGTACCAATCTCATAGGGCTGAAGACTGAATGAATTAATATTAGGAAAGCACTTTGACCAGTGTCTAGGAAATAGTAAATTCTACACAAGTATCTGTTAAGTAAATAAATAAAATATCTGGATTTCATTTTCTTCATTTATAAAAGGGAGATGACTACATCACAGTTAAGGTCATTTTCTATTCCAACATTCTGTAACATCCTGTGCTTAATCTGCAGACACGTAAGTAAGGACACACAATGACAAAAGGAGCAAGGGTCTTAGCTAATTCATGAGATGAGTACTGGTTCCCAAACAGCGGAGAGATGGATGTGGCTGTCTCTAAACATGCACAAGTAAAAGAAAAATTTAAATGTCTGGGTTTTTAAAAGTCAAAAAACCAAAACAAAATGCTTTGCTTCTCAGTAACTGAGATTTCAAGGGACATACCTATTTTGTGTGATGAATCTGAGTTTGTATGTGCAGGCACACCTAGTGTCCATGTGTTCCAAGCAACTGGGAGAGGACCGACATGATACAAGTGTTGGGCGGCTTTGAGCAGTCCCACCCTTTTGGTCTGTCACCTAATTCAGGTGGACTTTTTTTTTTTTTTTTTTTATTTCAGCATATTATGGGTGTACATATGTTTAGGTTGCGTGTGTTGCCCTTGGTTCCCCCCGAAGTCCGTGTTTCAAATATGTCCATCCTTCGGGTAGTGCGCATTGCCCTCCTTGTGTATACAAATACCCCTCCCCTCCTCCCTCTTCCCCCCTCCTCCCACCGCCCTCCCCCTTCCCTAGCATCCACTAGATGTTGTTCTGATATGTGCATTTATGTGTTGATTAGTTAATACCAATTTGATGGTGAGTACAAATGGGTCCCGTTCTGCTGCTCTTGTGGTGCTCCACTTTGGATAATGGGCTTAAGTTTAATCCAGGAAAGTGTAAGAGGTGCTAGATCACTGTCATTTCTTATGATTGAGTAATATTCCATTGTGAACATATACCAAATTTTGATAATCCACTCATGGATTGACGGGCACTTGGGTTGTTTCCACATTCTTGCAATAGTGAATTGTGCTGCCATAAACATTCGGGTGCAGATGTCCTTATCGTAGAATGTTTTGTGCTCTTTTGGGTAGATGCCTAATAGTGCTATTGCTGGATCGAATGGTATTTCTATTTTTAGCTCTCTGAGGTATCTCCAAATTCTTTTCCACAGAGGCTGCACTAACTTACAGTGGACTCTTGTTTTCTATTATTGGTGCAGAGGAGATTGCCTAACTTAAAAGACTCCCATCCCACACATTCTTTTTCCACCTAAATTCTAGTCACTAGAAATAAAGATTATGACCCTATTCAGTTTGCAGGATGCTTCCAGAAGAACAAACTACCTGTATTTCTGTGCTACTAGGTCAAGATAAAAGGAAACAAGAACCACGAACCTCTGAAGTGGAAGTGGGAAGCATGCAAAATGGATGTCAAATGCATCAGGCTACCTGAGGTATAATTTCATGTTCCCCCTTAAGTTATTAATAGAACAAAAAAGAATAATATTTTTAAAACGATCAGTGTTCTTTAAATTTATGATCCCCTGGGGTTTATCTGAAATCATTGTGTATACCTGAGAATTCATACCAGGCAAAGTAATGTAATAGAATTTTAATGCTTATTGAATTTAATAATTAGTGAAGTGGACATATGTTTTGTAGGCATTTATCTAAATAAGTTTGGTTCTAGGTGCTTTTAGATGTTCCTAATTTAATCAAACAACAATCATATGAAGAAGTCAAGACTCAAAGAGTTTTTTTTTTAACCCCCACCCCCTCACCCCGCCAAGACTCAAAGAGTTGAAGTGATTGTTATGGGCATATGCCAGGATTTTCTTTCTCCAAGTACAGTACTATTTCTACTATGCAACAGCTACCTTTATTCACTTTTTTAAGTAAACAAAAAATGACTTAACTATTTTAGCAACTTTCAAAGAAATATTATTCCTAAGAGCTTCATATTTTTCACTAAAAATACAACAGATTACAAGGACAGTATTGAAATCACTGTTATTTTTGTAAAGATATAAATGATATTCCAGTCCCCAATAAAATGCAAAAAATCTTTTTTCAAGTTGAAATTTCCTATAATATGATACAAAAACAGCATTTCTGTTCTTCCCACAGTTCCAAGCTCAATGTCCTACACACTACAGGTACTTAAGAAATGTTGCTTTTTTTAAAAAGAGAGAGGAATAAACACCCCATATATATTTTCCTCTCATAATGAAGAAATTAAACAAAATCTTCAGATTTGTAGATGGAGAGACAGGACAAAAACCAGCTATTTTTCCCAATAATACTAACATATACACTACTTCCAAAAAAAATCAACAAAGAGAATCATCATTATTTTGGGCTTACCATGTTGGACAACTGGTTCTCTTAATGGCTCCCCAGCAATTAAGACAAAATGGCTCCTCTTGGGATCCTAAAGTTACCAAAGAAAGCATCAAACAATAAACAGGTTTACTTCTGAATGTCAAATTAGGAACAATTTGAAGTGCTAGCCAAATGGATGATGTTCCTAATTCTGAATATAAATTCCAAAAATATTTTCTGTGCAACTCAATATGGAAACATTTATTCCTTAAGCTGTTTAGTAGCAATTAGAACTCAAGAATAAGTCCAGGCCACCAAAATATTAACATTCTCAAATTAAAGAAGGGGAATTTAAGATTTTCTTTAACTGGAAACATCTTTATGACAAACTATCAAACTATGCAATTGAATTGGTTTACTAAAGGGTCTATGATTTCTCACTAACAATATAATTTTTTAAAGGGAAGATTACTCCTGCAAATCCCAAAATAAGATTTTATTACTTTTTTTTTAGAGACAAAGTCTTGCTTTGTTGCCCAGGCTGTAGTGCAATGGCACGATCTTGGTAAACTGCAACTTCTAATTCCTGGGTTGAAGCAATCCTCCTGCCTCAGCTTGCCAGTACAGGCATGCGCCACCACACCCAGCTAATTTTTTATTTATTTATTTTTATTTGTAAAGACGGGGTCTTGCTGTGTTGCCCAGGCTGGTTTTGAACTTCTGGCTTCAAGTGATCCTCCCGCCTTGGCCTCCCAAAGTGCTGGGTTATAGGCGTGAGTCACCACACCTGGCCAAGATTTTATTACTTTTGACATTTATTACTATTGATGTAAAATATGCCCCAGAAATGTTGCACAAAATTGCATCTTATAAAAGAGAATTCGGAGAACATTTGCTCAGGCAAATTTCTCTCCAAAAAGGTCCTATTACTTTAAAGTCTCTGAAAGTTTTTGTTTAGAATTAAGAATTAGATTTTTGTTTCCTGAAACTGGAAAAAAACATTTATCATAATACCCAGTGCTAGTATGGATGCAGGGAAAGATACACTTTCATATATTGCTTGGGATATTTAAACTGGTGCAGTAATCCCTCCAGAGAGCAATGTGACAATATGACTCAAAACTCCTGATGTTGCTGATGTCCTCTGGTTCACTAATACTAATTTTAGGAATATAGTGTAAAGGAATAATTGGTTTCCCAGTTTCTTCATTGTAGCTCTATTTGTTACAGCAAAAATTGGAAATAGTTCTCTAAAAGTGAGGGGTTGGTTAAATAATTACACTATGTTTATAAGATGAAATGTCTTATGGCCATTAAGATTCATTTTCTCAACAAATATTTAAGTGCATAATAAAATTTTCAGAATGTATCGTAAGTTTTTTAAATGACATAAAATGGTATATATAGTATGGTTTTCACTTTTAAGAAAATCAAGAAATCATATATTGAGAAGTTAGGGAAGAAACAAACCTCACACTAGGTGAGGAAGTCAGCGGGCCCTGCAGGGTGGCATGTGCTGGCCTGAGATGGGTCAAATAAATGCTAAGATGAAGCAGGGAAACCTGGAGCAGAGACAAGGTGTCATCTCTCATCCCTTCTTTGCCCTCCTATCTTGCCCTGGAGACTGGCCACTCTAGAAGAAACTGCCCATACTGCTTGTCGACTAGGATGATGGGTGTGATGGTGGAGGACACAAAAATGGGGAGCAGTAAAAGTGCAGGAAGAACAGATTCCAGTAGGAAGCAAGGGAATAAATCAGCTCCTTATTCTTGACTACAACTTCATGCAAATGGGATTGGGAGCAGCCTTAGTAAGTCACATCTCTCTTCTGTATTGAATCCTCAGGCTAACACTAGCTCGAAATGAGGATAACCCTGCCTTGGAGTCCAAGTGAGTCAGGGTCCCTTAGGGCCTTTTCTAGCTGTAGATACTGTTATCTGCCCTAAGGCTTTGGACCCAAAGTATGAATCCTTATTAGGTAACATGTATGTGGTATGATCATCTGTTCAATTAGGTATTTGGATCAGTAAACTTTCCGGCTACCATTACTGGTCCCCTACAATGTACTAAACCAGGGATAGACAAACTTTTTCTGTAAAGGACCAGAGAGTTTCAGGGTTTGTGGGTCATCTAGTCTGTCACAACTACTCAGTGCCACTGTTCTCTCTTCCTTGGGGAAGAAATTATACCACAAGCTTATCATCCTCTTTCATTAATTTCTATTTCTATTGGTTTGTTTTAAAGTTTTGTCTACATTGATTCCTCATCTCCAAGAATTATCTATAGTCCCTATTGTTTACCCCTAGAAATTCGAATCTGGAGGCAACACGTATTTGTTGACTCTTCATTTTCTTTCTTTGTATAATTGTTCTATTTTGTTTTCAGCGTAAGTGAAAATGGATCAGCTCTCTAGAATTATAAATGTAGACCTGCAGGCATACTCAGAACCATTTGAAAATAATCTCCATTTTGAACTGAGAGGAGCATGTGATGCATTTCATAGTCCTTTTGTGACAAATCCCTGCTTTTATAGTGAAGTTTCTGATATTTTAGGAGTTTTTCTGATATTTTAGGAAGTTTTTTTCCCCAGGTTTCTAAATTTTTTCTCATGTCTATTTTATTCCCTTGGGTAATTCGTTCACCATCTTGTGAGTCTGTTAAGCCCAACTGACTGCTTCGTGTCATTCTAATAAAGAGGATGGAGGAGACAATTGTGCGAAAGCTCCTGAAAAGATGAATTTTGAAAAGTAAGGGTGAGAACTATTTCAGCAGGCAGGTGACTGGCGGAGAGGCAGTCTGCCTGACTTCTGTCCCTTTGACCCTGGTCTCATAGAATGCAGTGGACTTAAGGAATTATTAGATCTTAGCCTGCTTTTCTGGCAGCTCACCTACTGCTACTTTAATCATCTGCAGCACCACCATGGACTATGAAGTAAACAAAAGAAAAATATCGTGAGCACCGGAAAAAATGCATATCTCAGGGTCTATGCCCTCCAATATTAGACTGAGCCATATGAAACTGCCATGTTTGACCTATAAAAGTGACAATTTTATATATTTCAACCCAATATACGAAAGAGGCACAAAAGCTACATATAGGCCAAAACCTACTGTTATCAGAGTCATTCTTTAGAACATTATCTGGTTTAACCTGGCAACCTTGGTTCTTCCTCTAATATAGCAGAGAGCACATTGCAGATAATAAGGATTTGGAAGCTGAAACGGAACACCAGTAAAAAGCAATGAGGGGAGTCTGAAGGGCAAGGGCAGCCAGGATAGAAAAGAGTCAGCTGAAACCATCAATTTATTGGCTAGTAGTGCTCCTGGCTCCAGGGGCATCATTCTATTATGTGCAATTCTATAATTATTGCTGCATATAAGCATAGCTTGAGCCATCAAAGCCTTTGGAAGATTTCTATGAAAAAATTGTTATTTAAAAAAAAATGAGCATTTAAAGGCACATGTGTTGCTTATATCCACAGGATAGTAGAAAGTATAAGTTAGGAAAATAAAACACTTACCTTGTTCTCTACCTGAACACTGTCACCTTCCCCGAGCACTGCTGTGTGATGAGGTTCTATTTTCTGTTGTGCATCGTCAGGCCCTACAAAAACGATGGCCCACTAACTTTAGAACCCATTATAGTATATTTATCATATGGTTACATACTTGGTTAACTATGTAGCACTGTAATATTAATTTCAATTTCAAAAATAGCAGAAAGGAATTTCCTTAAATCTCTTGGTTGATTATATTTGCTATATTATTAAAGTCTGAAACTGGTTAGTTTTCAATTTTGAAAAGAACAGGGAAGTGAATTCTGCATCGTGACTTCATTTACTTTTAATGTCATGCTCAAATAGTTCAATTGATAAGCAAAGCCTTTGGCATTATGTGCACATAAGAGTGTTTCGTTTGGTAAATTATAAACCTTATAAGAAATGAGCACACTTAGAAAAATGATCAAATGTCATTAATTCATTTCAACAAGTATTAATCGAGCACCTACAATTACCTAGTGCTATTAGGGAAATACAAAGATGCGCAAAGCAGAGTCCTTGCACACAAATAATTCAAAATCTCATTGGAGCAAACTACATACACACAAACAAAGTAATCAGAGAATAATTTAATTGAAAAATAAGTAAGTTGGATAGCTATTGAATAGCTATTGAACTGTGAACAAGACCCTGTTCTAAATGCTGTGGGGGTCTTTGGGATAGATAAGTTTCCATCCCTTCTAAACTGAGGCTCACAGATAAAGCAATACAAATGAAATTGTCTCATAAGGACAACAATAAATTAATAAGCAAAGTTCAACAAGAGAACAGGGTTGGTAGGGGCTCATTCAGGTCTAGGGGCCCCAGGAATTTGCTGTGGAGGAGATAATATTTGAACAGAGCTCTGCGGGATTAAAGGCAAATCTGGGAAGAAATGCCTTCTAGACAAGAAGACACACAGATCGTGCAAGGGTAATGTGTGGGCATTTCTGGGGAAACAGTGAACCTTCCTGGAATGTTCTTCTGGGATCAAGGAAAACCTTGAAAGCCATGTTTATCCATATAAAATTGAGAGCCCTTGAGGAGGATGTGTGTGTGTGTGTGTGTGTGTGTGTGTGTGTGTGTATGAAAAGGTCAGATATGTATCTTGAAGAAATA